TAACTTTATTTCTTATATCGTATTATTTTGAATAACCTAATCACATAATTTCAAAAGTTTCACAAAATTAAAAGAAGATGGAAATTAAAAATATCGAGAATAATTTTAATTTTCTATTTTTCGAAAATAGTAATTTTTTTTTTTTTTATAATGAAACTTTATTTCTTATATCACTATTTTGAATAATCTAACCTTAAATCGCATAATTTCGAAAGTTAAAAGGAGACACAAAATTAAAAGAAGATGATTAAAGATTAAAAATATCGAAAATAATTTTAATTTTCTATTTTTCGAGAAATTCGAAAGTAGTATTCTTTTTTTTTTATAATGAAACATTAACTTTATTTCTTATATCGTATTATTTTGAATAACCTAATCACATAATTTCAAAAGTTTCACAAAATTAAAAGAAGATGGAAATTAAAAATATCGAGAATAATTTTAATTTTCTATTTTTCGAAAATAGTAATTTTTTTTTTTTTCATAATGAAACTTTATTTCTTATATCGCTATTTTGAATAATCTAACCTTAAATCGTATAATTTCGAAAGTTAAAAGAAGACACAAAATTAAAAGATGATTAAAGATTAAAAATATCGAAAATAATTTTAATTTTCTATTTTTCGAGAAATTCGAAAGTACTAATTTTTCTTTTTTGAATGAAACTTTAACTTTATTTCTTATAACCTTATCTCGTGCTATTTTGAATAACCTAACCTTAGATCACATAATTTCAAAAGTTCCACAAAATTAAAAGATGGACATTAAAAATAACGAGAATAATTTTAATTTTAGTTTACATACATATATAATTATTCTTCAATATTTTTAATTTCCACCTCCTTTTAATATTGTACAACTTTCGAAATTTAATATATGCGCGTAAAAGTTAGGTTAGGTTATTCAAAATAATACGAAATAAGACTACTACAAGTTTCATCATAAATTGCTACTATTTTCGAATTTCTTTTGCATTTCTTTCGATAGACATCAGAGTTTTTCTTAACGAACAATAACAACGAATCGCCTGTCGAAAATGATGAACGACGAAGAAATCTGTCAAGCGTCGAGCTTGAAGAATCACGGAAATAGAAAATGAGCGATAAGGGAGAGGGAGGAAGGAAACAAGCGAGGACCAGCCAACAAATCCGTTTCTATTTTTAATTTTCCCGCTTTGGAACTTGGACGAAACTGCGCGCCCCACTCTCTCTCTTTCTCACTCTATTAACAGTTTGTCACTTTGAATGCGTTTCACGAACGCATCGTTGCGCCGCCATCATCCACAATCCGTGGATTGATTTCTTTTTAAACGGAGGAGGGAACAAACTCGACACTTGTCAATGACGAGTCGCACAATTTAAAAAATTAATGCACGTTCTATGGCCTCGAATCGATACGCTCGTAGTATCCGCAACGATCGACAATTCGATGTTTAACGTTGCACGTCAGCAAATTTTCCACCATTTTCTTCAATCGTGGATTGAAGAAAAGCAGCAAAAGTTGAATCCATCCAATTTGTCAACTCTGGGAAAAGAAAGTGTTAGAAGAAAATCTAAAAACGAGAGAAAAAAAAAAAATAAAAGTTTATCAAAATTTGTTAGTTAAAGAGTTAGGGATGAGTTGTGAAACTTGTCGATGAATCGAGGAAAATTGACTTCGAAGATCAACGTTAAGAATACGATGAACTGGTTAAGGAAAAGCGTTATCTAACATCGTGCAGCGCTTTCGAGGATAAAAAAAGAAGAAGAAGAAGAAGAAGAAGAAGAAGAAGAATCGATACGATCGTTTACAGAGAATTATGTAAAACGAGGCCTGGTCCCGGGGGTCATAATTGAGCCTTCAAGTCCATCGTTTGGTCCAATTAACGGCGATAAAGCGGCGAAAAGTAACGACAATGATCGTCGCGCAGAACCCCTCTAATACCCCAACTATTTCTTTTTTTTTTTTTTTTTTTTTTNTTTTTTTTTTTTTTTTTTTTTCACTCGAGAGACTCGCCAAAAATTCAACCCAACTTTTAAATCGACTTTGTAATATCATCGCTTTCGAACATTCCATTGTTTACCAATCCCTTCGTCTCTTTCCGCCATTTTTCAACTTTTAACGCTTTTACCATTTCTTCTTTTATTTTTATTTATTTATTTATTTTTTTTTTTTTTTTTTTACATCCGATTGATTCACTCGTTTTCAACGATACCGTGCATAATCTCCCGTCCAATTGTCTATATCTTTCGTCCCTCTTTTCGTCCCTTTTAATAGCTCCACCATTTTTGCTCACCTGCGAGAAGGGGGAAGAGGGGAGGGGGGAGGGGTCTCTCCTCCTCCGGTTCGAGAGGCAATCACGCGTGAAATTGCTCTCGCAAATTTGTTTCTGTTCCGTGGAGAGGGCCGCGAAAATTCGGGGGGAGGGGAGGAGGGGGGGAGGGGGGAAACCGGGGCCGACCCATTTCCACGAAATATTACCGAATTTTCGAAAGGGATGACGATTCACCCCCATCCCCTCCCTCCCTCCCTCGATGGGAGGGAACGTTTTCCATCTCGTTTTCACCAAAGTTTGGGAAAATTTTCCCGAAAATTCCGAGAAAAACGCTGTTTTCTTCCCTTCCTTCTCTCTCTCTCTCTCTCTCTCTCTCTCTCTCTCTCTCTCTCTCTCTCTCTTTCTCTTTTCCTGTCTCTGTCTCTGTCTCTCGTCGAATTGGCTCGCTCAAAGGTACGGCAAAATTGAATGGCGCGTTTACCTCCTGTTATTATTCGAGCGCAACGCTTTCGAATCTTCTTCATTTTTTTGATACGGGACCAAGCGTGAAAGGATCCGTGAAAAATCGAAAAATTAAGTTCTATATTTCGTTTTTTCTCGCCGTCGATTTATATTTTTTTTTCACGCGAAGCGTGAGTTTTGTTCGAATCAATTCGATGGATTGGAATGTTTAACAGTAGTGTGATCAAAGTAGTTATGCAGTACAAGTGTTTCTGGATTAATTTAGAAGATTTTTAAAACACGATTTATTAATTCAAACATCGATATTTCGATATCTTCAATTTGTATTTTTTATTTTTAAAGAGTGAATTTTAATTACAATGAAATCTAACACGAATAGTATTTTTCGATCAATTTGAAAGTTTTGAAATAGAAATTTAACGAATAACTCAATATTAACATTAAATAAAACGTGCTTCAAAAATGTATCTCATCATTCTTTCATCGATCCACAAAATTTTTAATCGTTATTCCTAATTCCATTATTGATCGTAATGAAATACAATAAAATAAAATATATACGTAAAAGTAAAGTATTTCGCGATTATTTCGCAGATTCTACAAATTTGAATCTAGTCCCGTTATCGATCAAAAAGGATTCGATTACGCGACGTAATAATACGCGTCAGATAGGGGGGACCAGCTGATCGGTTGAATCAGTTATTACGACGAAACGCGAATACATCTCCGCTTGTTCCGTGTCGCCGGTGATTATGTTACGCGCGAGGAAATTCGATTTTCGCGCCGGTGGAGCGTGCAATTTCACTAGAAGTAATGGGGAAACGAGTCGGAGTGGGGAGGGGGGCTCGTCTGCCTAAAGGCGGACGGTGCACGCGTCAGTAATTTTTAGTTACTATTTTTTTTTTTTTATTAATGTATTTTATGATTTTTCATAAATATTCGACAAGTAATTTTAATTCTTTCAAAATTCATTCTATGTTTTTTTATTCATTTCTATGTTTTGCGATTCAACGTGTTTTATTAAGGAATTTTTTAAGAAAAGAAATCTTTGTTTCCCCAATTTGATATTATTTCTAAGAGTGAGGTTAAGTCTAAAGGAGATCTGTGCCCGCGTCGGTAATTTTAGTTACTTTTTTTTAAATATATTCTATGATTTTTCATCGCAATTATTCGACAAGTAATTTTAATTCTACATTTGCAAAATTCATTTCTGCAATTCAGTTTTGTGATTCAACGTGTTTTTTTGTTTTTATTAAGGAATTTATCGAGAGAGAATCTTTGTTTTTCCAATTTGATATTATTTCTAAAAGTGAGGTTAAGTCCAAAGAAGAACTGTGCACGCGTCGGTAATTTTAGTTACTTTTTTTTTTTTTTAATGTACTCTATGATTTTTCATCGCAATTATTTGACAAATAATTTTAATTTTGCAAAATTGATTTCTTATAATTTTTTTTATTAATGAATTTCGGGAAAAAATTGTTTTTCTAATTTAATATTATTTCTAAGAGTGAGATCTAAAGGCGAATTGTGCATTAGCGTTAGTAATTTTAATTACTTTCTTTTTAATACGATTTAAGAACGATCTCGGATTATTTATTATTTTATTATTTAACAAATAATTGCATTTGCAAAATTCATTTCCATATTTCACGATTGAACATGCTCTTTTTATTTATCGAGAAAAATTAAATATTATCGAATTATCGAGAAAAAATTTTTTATTTTTCTAATTTAATGATACTTTTTTTCTACTTAATATTCTACATTTTCGTAATATGTGTCGTGAAACTATATATCGGCTCAAACTAATGACACAAAGTTACGTGTTAACTCTGTAAATACTTACCACTTCCAGATAAAGTATAATCTTAATGTATATCAGTATATATTTTTTTTACATATCTCCTTTGTGTATCACCATGCATTATTAAAAATACGTTATTAAAATTCTCGTCACAGGTAAAAGGAGTAAATTTAAACAACGCACTTGTTATTAAATATTATAATACTCCTACCACATTTTCGTCTCGAAAATCCCTCCCTCAACAACTTTGCGTGTTGCGCCACGTTAATTTACTAAAATTACAAAACGATCAAGTTTGCTTTGCCCACTTTCATTTTGTTTCAATCTCGTGCGCAACAAGAGGGGAAAAGCCTCTTTCCACCGCAATTTTCATCAAGATTCAAAAGAAGAAAAAGAAGAAGAAGAAGAAGAAGAAAATATCCAACAAAGAATAACGCAAAACACGAAGGTTGAGAAAATATTTTTTTCTCTGTTTAACAGGAGTCGAACATGGAGTAACGTCGCCCCATAGAGGCTTTCGATCGCTGCACACAAAGAGGAACACGATCGAAATGGATAAATACAGCGTCGAATTCCCGAAACACGAGTGGAGCCATCGACTCAGCCTTCGTAGCAGTCGAAGAAGTCACCAGGTAAATCGTAAATAACCACCCTTCTTCCACCAAATCCCCTTTTCTTCTCTCTCTCTCTCTCTCTCTCTCTCTCCTTCGATTTACTATACTTCTCGTGGGGCAAAAGAAAAAGAAAAAGAAAAAGAAAAAGGAAAAGAAGAAGTGGGGTACGTAGGGTCTAAAAAAAGACTCACGAAGACGCTTAACGCGATAAGAAAAGTTTCGTAGAAATCGGAGAAATATTAAGAAAGTTTGCTTCCTCGAGTTTTTTTTTCTTTTTCTTTTCTTTCCTTTTTTTTTTTTCTCCCCCCACTCGGCCTTAGGGAACTTCGTCGAAGCGACGAAGAAAAGTTGGGTTTACTTATTCGGTGAATGAGAAACGATTTCACTGTTTTTCCACCTTCTTCCTTTCAACATCTTTATTTACCTCTTTCCCTTCAAAGTAAAAGTAACTACTTTAAACGATTGTCATCCTTCACTCGATTTTCCATTCGTTCAATTTAAATCTATATCGTTAGATGGATATTTCTATATTCATTGATTTTTGTATATTTATGTAAGAATTATATGTATTGTATTTTGATTATAAGAATTATTGTTTATGTAATATGGATATAGGATATATTGAAAAATATTATGAAACGAAGAAAAAGATTAGAAAAAATACAATATTTGAAAATGTTAAAAAAAATATAAGAATCAACTCCAGATTCGAATATATTATTCAAATTTTTCGTTATATCAATAACGTTTTTCCAAATTTTAAAAACCAAATTTTAAAAATTTTAAAAATTTTAATATAAAAGATAGAAGTATTCATTTCGTATAACAAAAAAGATTATTATTTAAAATACACACACACACCTTCAATTCTATTCTTAATTCAAATTTCAAACAGATATATATATATATATATAAATATATCAAAGTGATTAATCCATTGCATTATCACCGTGTATTTTTCTTCCTTTTCTCTTTTTTTAATTATCTCCAATCTCCGAAACACGTAACTCGCCCCGTCCTCGTTCTCGTTCAATTGTCCTTAATTAGCAAAAAAATACACTTCGATAATCATTAATTAAATCTCTCATTTAATCCTTAATCTCCAAATCCCTAAAAAAAAAAAAAAAAAAAAAAGAGAGACTACTCAACTACCACCACGCGATCACCAATACACAATTGACAACGCGTGATATCTTGATAAATAATCTTGATGGATTTGAAATGTTTCCACGTTATATTTCGAAAATAAAACTGCGCGAAAAACAAATTTTCCCGATAAACAAGAGACAACAAGTTACGCAGGTATCGCTGCATAACCCTGTTTTTCCTATCGTTTCGAACACCGTGAACGCACGCAGCTCTCTCGTCCGGCTTATCCATTATTCAAAAGTTTATTTCCATCCGAGTGTCGCGAGTTATCATTCACGTCCGCGAGTCACGATAGAAGAAGCGAGGAAAAGTAATCCTGTTAGTCGGGGAAGAAAATTGAGAACCGGTCCCTTCCTCCCCCTCCTCCTCCCTTCTTCTTAGTGTCGACTTAATTAATCGATCCGTTGGCGATTATTCCTCCCTGGTCGATTAATCTTGTAAATCTCTCCGTTTTGCATCGGGCTTACATCGATCTTAGTTACGAAACACGGTTCCGCGTTGGATAGAGGAAAGTAACTAGGGGGGCGGCGGCGGCGGCTAGGGAACCCCAGGCGGCCGGATCGAGAAAGTTAATAATTCGCATCTCGGTTCCGAGAATCGATTCGGAGAACGGCTCGTTCGGCCACGACTCTGCCTTCGCCAGGCTATAAATTGATAAAGTTGGCCGCGAAACTTGCCGGTCAACGAAAGTGTCGGCGCGCCGTGATGGAAATTGTTCTCGTTGAATGGAACCTCGAGACGAGGTTGTAAACCCGCCGCGAAGTTGATGGCAGGTATCGACTACTATTTTCCCAATATTCGATTTCCCTTCTTCTTTCGAAATGGGACGGGATCGAGATCGATCGCAACGAGGAGATAATTTTTCATTAAGATTCTAGTTCCTTAAGATCGATCGGTAAAAAAGGAAACTAGTTTTATATAGTTTTCTTTCTGCGTGATTTTTCGATATATCCGAGTTGACAGAATTATCGATGATGTATGGCAATTTTCCGCGATTTTTCGCTGACAAAATTGGATTTCTCCCCCTTCCTCTTCCAAAAAATACAAAAGAATTTTCAAGCGTTTTTTTCATTCGGATTTCCCTTTGTAAACTCGACACCAAAGGAGTCGCCATTACTACATCAATGTTTCGGATATCTCTTCGCGTTTTTTTTCGCCGTTGATTTTTCGCTACGTATCGAAAAGATCCGATCAATCGGTGTTCGATTTTCGATTCGAACGATCGTTAAAAATTTCCGAGCGAGCAAGTTGGATAATTAATCGTCGAATATAGGACGAAAGAGGAATGGATAAATACGGAAAATTGTGAATGGCGGTGTCTATATATTTACTATTACCCCCGCTTATCATCGCGTTCAAAATTTGAGCTGATTATTTCAACGATGGCCACAAGTGTCGAAGGAGTGGTTGCGGTTTTCCGTTTCAACGACCAATTATTACCAGTATTACCACTATTCAATTTCAAACCCCGCATATTTGAGGCAACCGCGAAATCCAAGTTTCTCAATGATCGCGCGTTCCGCGATATATAAATTTAATCGTTGTTTCCAACTTTATTATTCAATCTGCGCATACACGCGGATTTTAACTGGATTAAAACACGCGGTCACGGCGTCCATTTTTCATCCCCGATGTATGTAAATACGATTATAAAAAGTTGGAAGAATTAAGTAAAAAAAAAAATTGGAAATGGAAAAGTCGAGGCTTTCTCGGCTTTAAGAAAAAAAAAAAAAAAAAAAAAAAAAAAAAAAAAAAAAACGAAAGAAAACAACAAATGATTTTTTTCTATAACATTGGGAGACAGGGAGAGAGGATAGATAGGGGAAAAAGTTCCTAGATAAAAGTTACTAGAAGCGAGATTTTTCTTCGATATTCAAATTTAAACGCGTTCGGTGAATTTTTTTTCAATTCGAGGATTCGAGGAAATTGTAATATTATTTTCGTACATGCTTATCCGATACATCGAATATCGAATATTATTCGAATGTTCGATTTTTGTAAATGTAAACGTAAATTCTATCGAAATTCTGTCGAAGAAAAATTGTTATCGATAATGTTATCGATAGTGTGGGTGGATGTATCGGATGATCCTCGGAAATTTTCGATTATTTTCGTCATTAATAGAACGTGGTCGTAACGCGAAACGATAATAATAATTATAAACCATTTTAACGAGATGTCAATTACAAATTTGATTCTCATTAAAATAATATCCGTAACACCAGCTTCGTTGTTGATTACCATGGGTCGGTAAATCGCGACCGTTCATCGAGTGAATATCAGAGCGAATAATTAACGAGGAACGGATCGAAATATTAATAAACTAGGATAGATCATGATCCCATTTTCAAAATTGAAAGGAGAAGGCTCGGGCGTGAAACAACTTTGCCGATTCGATTAATTATATAACCAATGAATGATTTATTCGACGATTTTCTCCTAACCTAAAATATCGAAACGTATTTCGACACGTATATTAACACGTATAAAATATTAACAGTATATAATTCGAAATATATTTCAATTACACATATATATATATATTATGAATTCGCTTCTTTCAATATATTTTTCACAATATTTTATTAATTTAAATTATTCGTAAATGATTCTGAAATGACGAACATTAGGAGAAAGGATAGATAGGGGAAAAAGTCCCTAGATAAAAATCACTAGAAGCGAGATACGATAGAAAAGCGGGGACGAAAGAGAGAGAGGGAGGGACAGAAAAGGAAAACTTTTTGTCACGCGATAGCCGTGCGTTCGATATTTCAGGAATTGTTTGAAAATTTGTGCCGGTTGATACGTTATCGGGCTTTTCGCACGTGCACACGTAATCGAAGAATTCACCGAATGTTTCGAGCGCGATAAATTTCACAGCGAGGTCCCACCGTGGAACGATAAGAGTCTATTAGCGAGCTCACGTATCGGTTTTCTTATCGTTGGGTGCTAACTCAATTTTCATTAGAGAAGCTCGAGCAACAAGCTCGACGAAAAAATATTCGATCGTTTCGAGAGAGAGAGAGAGAAAAAAAAAAGAAACAATGTCTCGAAAATTTTTTCCATTCTTTGTTTCCTACTTCGAGAAAGAGGGGAAGGAGAGGAGGAATTTTTTTTAACGAACGAAATAATAGATTTTTCTTCTTTTTTCGAAATCGCGATCGACGAAAACTGTGAATTTAAATTCGATCTCCTATTTTTTTTTTTTTTTTTTTTTTAGGAGGTCAATGAGTTACACTCCAAGTTACTGAAATCATTAATCCTTTTGTAGTTTTATTAAATCCAGGACACATCGACTGTCAAAAATCACTACAAATCCGCGCAACGTGATATTTTTATAGCCTGTCTGTCGAACGAATAGCACATTCATACACGAATACACACACAAAAAAAAAAAAAAAAAGAATAATGGAAAAATTTCTCGTCTATTAGTTTCGTTTTCAATCTTGAACCGATGAATGTGAAATTATGAGAGATATCGAAAGGAGAGAGCGAGAAAAAAAAAAGAGAGAATAGAAAGGATGGGTTTCGGAATCGAATTAACAAAATTCCTTGATACAACATCGGGAGGAACAATAGATCGTTCGACCGGTGGATTAATTCGCACGGTTGAATGGAAATAATAAGCTTTATGGAAGCTTTATCGATCAGCACGTGGAAGATTAATGTGTCCTCTGTTTCCTATTGTTCGTGTATCCGAATCGCTTGCCATCCGTGCAACCAGACCCACAAATTTGTATATATATTTTATTAATAATGTACACGTAATTCGAAAGAAAATGATATTTCGTGAAATTTTGAATATATATCTTTTTTCCGAATTTTCGAGAGAAATCGTTCGTTAAAAAAAAAAAAAGGAAAAACGATCA